ACTTTTTTATATTGTCAATCACGTCGCAAAAATTAATACTTTTGTGACGTTTGAAAAAAATATAATATATATAAATATATTATTTTTTATATTATAAATATTATTTATATTATAAATATTTTTTCTAATAAACATTGAAAAAAATAAACATAACCTTAAACATAACAACCTAGTAGCTTTTTATAGAAGTGGGTTATTTTTATTTATTGAAATCAGTTATTGAAGAAAATTGGAAAGGAACTTTTCATTTTATTTTTAACGTGTAATTAATCATTATGCAAAAAATGTTACTTTAATTAAAGAAAGCTGAATTAAAGAAAATGATGCGCATCCACAAAATGCATTCCAAAATTATTATTATGCCTTTCTTTATTACACTACCAATTGGAAAAAGAGAATGTAAAATTTTAGATAAACATCTTTTTCATTGAATCTGTTAAATGTCTTAAGAAAACCTAACAATATATGCTAGGAATCCGTTATGCGTCATCCGTCATTGACTTTATGCAATGTTATTGGTTTAATTCAAAAATCAACGTATTACAGAAGCTATAAACTCACATTTAAAGTGAGCGTCAAACTTTCGACAGATGTTTATTTTTTAGAACAGCTGTAATGTCTAGGTAGAGGTAAGGAGAAACATCTCTTGTGAAGGGGTAGAGGTAGGGAGAAATATCTCTTTATTTGAAAAAGTCAAAATGGGAAGAATAAGGATACACTACATCACCACAGTGCTACAGTGCTACAGTGGCGCTAACAAGCAATAATGGAGCGAACTGAACTTAGCGGTTATAAATAAGGTGAAGTTAGTTAAAAAGAGAAGCAACACGCGCCCTCAGAAATCGCATATATTTATCTGTCTCTCTTTAATTATTTCCTGTTCTAAAATTTTTTGCCATTTCTATTAAATGTAGGGTTTTTGCTAGAGCAGCGCACTCGTAAGTGTTCCCTCTTTGATAACCACTTTTCAATACACGAAGATATTTCTCCATACCTCTACCCTCCATAATTGTGCAGGAGGCAATAAAGAGCATAATATATTTTGATTTAATAGAAAAATAACGAATTATGATATTTTGAAAAAAAATCTATCTTAAAAATAATGTACAGGGTGGGTCAAATTTAACGCTTTCAAAGGGAAACACCCTTTCCTATTATAGGAGATAGACGAAAACTAATATAGGTGTCTGAGATCAATTTTTATTAAAAGCAAGATGATGAAAACCACACATCGATATCTGTTACCGTTTATGAGTTACGGGATGTTTTTCAAAAATGTGCATTTTTAACAAATTGCTATAACTTTTTTGCTATGGAAAATTTTGTATTTTTGTGAAAAAAAAACCAAAGCACCTTTTTTGCCCGTAATGAAACTCCAAGACATATTTTTCCAGCAAGACGAGGCACCGCTTCAGAACGCTGAAGTTGTCAGCAAATTTTTGCAGTCAGTTTCGAGAATAATAATTGAATAGATAACCAAGATCTCAGCTGTTGGCCGTCGAGGCCGCCGGACATAATACCTGTTATCCTTAGTGGATTTTTATCTTTGCGGAAGAATAAAGGTTCTTATTTTTAAATTGCCCTATAATCTAGACAAGAATTAAAGTATTTAGCAGTTATGCGAGAGTGTGTTTCACCCCCACTGAGTTAATGAATTCCGCGAGAAATGTTCAAAAACGGTCTGTCCATAATAGAAGACGGTTGATATGTCGAACACCTGTAGCAAAAGCTAACGTCTTGGTTTGCTATTTATTTTTATTGTTTTTAGATATAGTTTGATGTATTGATGTTCTTAAATAGAGTTTAAATTGTTATAAAATTCTGCATCTCTCAGCAAATATTATTTTTGTTTTAATTGCTGCTCCCTGCTAGAATTTTTTTGCATACAGACGGCGCCGTTCAAAGCCTACTTTTAAAAATTAAAGATTGTAGAGTAAAATACTCAAGGGTAATAAAAAGATACCCGTTTAAAACATATTTTAATTATTACAGAATTAAAACTAGATATAAACCTAAATTATGCGAAAAAAAAAAGCTAGATGAAATCAAATGCTCAAAATGCTTCCTTTCCTGTTAACTGCATAAAATGATTGTCTTTTCAAAAGGATCTTTTCATTTTAAAAAGTATATGTGGAGTTCTACCTCGAAAAGCAGCTACAATAATTTTTCTCATGTTGTCGACACATGGTCGACACTAGTTGGTCGAGTTTTGTAAACACTGTCTTTAACATATCCCCATAAAAGAACCAGACTAGATAAAATCAGGAACATTTAAGTATTCTACTAATAGAATAGCTACCAAAGTTATAATAATATAATAGAATCATATCAATTCGCTCTGATGTACGATAAGTTTGCATTTTCGGCAAATTTCTGAGAAATTTTTTTGTTTTAACTGACAGGAAATGATAACTAGTTGTTAAAGTTGGACTAATTAGACAACTATGTTGAAGTAACGTTAGACGTATCACAGCCACCTAGATTTTATCAAATAATAAAAATCTACTCAGATCAAATCATGTCAATGAAAATATCTAGGAAAATATTTGTTTGAGGGGTAGGCAACCTTAATTCCCCATTGAATATCGGAATAATATACTGGGTGTTCCATTTAAAATATGAGAGGAACATGCTTTTAAAGGTGACCAATGTTCAATATTAATTTTGTCTCACCCTGTATAACTTTTTGGATCAAGTTTAAATTTGATTTAAAGTACAATAGTTAATTTAACTACATATTAGGCTATACCGGGTAAATTCCAATTTAGGTAGCTTTTATTGTAATTTAAAAATTGTTCTTTATTTCTAGAAAATAGTAAATATGTCAAAAACCTTACATTTTAGTCATATACTTTTCTTATAAAACACACCTTTATTTTTCTCCTAGAATCCGAAAATCAAATATATAGGGTGTTCCATTACAAAAAACACAACTTTGATATGTAACTTTTTTTGGGGACACCCTGTAGAACTCTATATTTTTAAAAAGTGCTCTGAATTAACCTACATATGCTCACAAAATTTCATTCCAATACAAACTGTCGTTCTCCTTGGAGCCTCCGCGGCGTATGAGAGGTGCCACCCTGTATTTTTGGAAAGGTAATTTTATATTCTTTTCAATTGATTAAAAATTAACAGAGTATGCAATATAACAATAAAATTTTCTGTTGATAATTCTTAGACTATTAATTTTAAAAAAATTATACTTAAACCATTAAATTCTACGTAAAAAGTACCAAACCAAACACTTATGGAGAGGTAAGTTTAGAATGTTTTTTTAGAATATACCTCTAAGTTTTTTTGTTCAAGTAGTTTTAGAATAAAATAAATTACAAAATGGCCGACTGGTGTTAATGTCCAGCAGTGAGACAAAATATATTTCCCAACAGTGATACAGTGTCCGACAGACAGTGCACCCGTTAAGACTGGGACATAGGTACCTTTTGGCCACTCGTTGGCATTGTTAAACATGTCTATCATGTTATTGGTGTTATATAACAGAGTTTTTCTTTATTTTAAGTCGAAGTTACATTAACAACAAAAATCTAGGAAACTCTTTTTTTTATTTCGTTAGTTGATTAAGTTAATTATATTTTTAGCACTTGTGTTTATATTTTAAGTTCTTTGTTTAAGACAGCTCTACTTTGTTTTATGCCAAACGCAAATAAATACTCTTAACATTTTTAAGTAATTAATAAATAGTTATTTGTTTAAAATTTCCTCTGTCTTACTGTTAGACCTTAGGGCCCAACAATGAGACAAATGCAATAATAACAATATTGTTAATTTTAAGACATGTTTTTGTCTCAATGAGAGTAGTTAATTAAACATGTTTAGGAGAGAGTGGTTGCCTTTAAAGTATACTAAAATAGTTTATTTTGATGAAAAACTAAAATATTTTTTACGGTCTTAAAAAAATGTGTCTCACTGTTGGGCATTCTCCCCTACGTTTTTTTAATATAAAAAGTCCCTACATTTTGGTACCAAGATCGCCAGACTTTATGCGGAATAATTCTTGTAAAAATATTATTCAGAAGCTTGCAACTACCATTTTGAGTGATCTATTTTTACACATACAATTTACCAATAAATAGATATTTTCAAACATCAAATTTTTCATATTCTGATTTAATTCTATTTTACATTTAATTATTAATTATATTTAGTTATTAGTTCATCTCAGCGTTTTATTTGTGTAATTCCTAAAATAAGTAATACCTATATTCTGAGTTGATTTCTCAGTTTTCAACTTAGAGGTTTTCGAAAGTAAATGGAAAACTGAGTGGCGCCCAGTATCTTGTAAAGGCGAAAGAAATGAAAAAAAAAGATGAAGAAACACGAAATAACCCTCTTCGACTTCAGCTAAGTTTGGCTTACTTCGCTAGTAGTGTAAAGGGCGCTTAGAGGTTTAAATATATATATATATATATATATATATATATATATATATATATATATATATATATATATATATATATATATATATATATATATATATATATATATATATATATATATATATATATATATATATATATATATAACCTCTAATATATATATATATATATATATATATATATTAGCTGAATCGAATATATATATATATATATATATATATATATCGTCTTATATATATATATATATATATATATATATATATATTAATTATTATTATTTTCTAGAAAAATAAAGTAAAAAATTGTTCTTCCTCAGTTTTTTTTAAATAGTCACATATATCTACAAAGATTACAATAGTTTTGCCGGATGTAATTAAAAACATTTCCCAGATACTAATAAATAAATAAACGACTATTAGGTACAACTGCAAGAGTCAAGAGAATAGACATACATTTTTAATTTCCATAATAATTAATATTGAGTAATATTTCTCTCTAGCACTACTATAGACGCTTTTATAATTTTTTTTGATTAAAATATATCCCAAATGTCTGTGATTGTATTAAGAAACTATTTTTTTTTAAATATATAAATTTATTTACCTTTTATTTCCGTATCCACTGACCAACACGTAGCAGACTCCAGACAGGACACCGGCTAGTAAACTGACCCCCAGTCCTGTGGTCACCACCGTCACCATATCCGGCATCCTGTTACAGAGAACACCACCCGATACGATGAAAATACCTCGAACGTAATCACATCTTATTTGAAATGGAACCATATAACAACAATTCTGAAACAGGAGAAGATTTTCTTTCAGTCATTGATCAATAACGTAATGTGTGGTTAAGTAATGCATCTAAAAACGCTATTATAAAAAAAGTAATGGTCGATCAAATGATAGCAATAAGACTGATAAATATGTGATTACTTAGTCTGCCGAGGTATATTCTATAATAGATAATATTCTATGCATATATGATAAAAATTTTATTGTAAAAAATTGTAAACGGTTAAAATAAAAATCCGGCTTGAGTTTATATCAATCATTTGGGAGAAAAATATTTTGTTTTAAAATAAACAGTATTAATTATAAAAATTGCCTACTACCGGTAACATACACAAATATACCCGTAACATACACAAGTAACCCGTAATATTCACAAAAATAACAAACAACAGTATACAAAACACGCTAGACACTGCCAAAGTTTACAGAATTCTGTAAACTTTAACGGTGCACAACCACGAGAACAAGCAGGCTTTAGAAGCGACTTCAGCACGATTGATCACATACATACACAAGAAACTATCAGCCGAACAAAAGAATACGAACTTCCACTAGCCATATAGCCTTTATAGACTTTAAGAAGGCTTTCGACTCGATATATCCTAAGGTAATAATAGAAGCCCTAGCAAATCAAGGTATTGACAAGCCTTACATAGAAACTCTCGCAAATATATACAAAGAAGCCAAAACAAGAGTAATGATATACCCTGCTGGCAAGCGATACCTTGGGTCGGCGTTTACATGTATAGGAGTGAATCGCTATGGCAATCTAGTAAGTCGGAGAGAGCAAAAATACGAAGTAGTTATTACATAACTACTTAATCTGAAGCTAGATTCCATGCGCTTGGTAAAATACTTGCCTTTTGTCTTTATTCAGTACATCTTATTTTGCTAAGCGTGTTGACCGTACTCTTCGTACACAAGAAAATCGGCACCCAAGACCAGAAATGCCGGCCCTAGTGTAAAACAACCCTAGAGTTTCCAAATGGCAAAAGAGTACAACAGGGAAATACGATATCCCCAAAGCTGGTTACAGCAACACTAGAAGTAATCTTCCGTCAACTAGACTGAGCCAACAAAGGATTAAAAATAGATGGAGAGTATCTTAACCATCTAAGATTCGCTGATGACATTGTCCTAATAGCCAATATTCCTGAAAAACTACAAACAAAAATTATCAAACTAAATGAAGCCAGCAATATAGTAGGTCTCAAAATAAATTTAACAAAAACTAAAGTAATGTACAACGAACTAGTAGACAGAAAAGACATTCTAATAAATAAATGGTAATAGTAGAAGAATACATATATTTAGCACAACTAATACACAGCTCGGGATCTCTACTACCAGAAATCAATCGAAGAATTAAGTTAGCATAGTGTACTTATGAAAGATACTCAATCATATTCAAATCTAGAATGCCACTTTATTTAAAGAAAAAAACATTCGACCAATGTGTACTACCAGTCATGACCTATGCATGCGAAACTTAGATTCTTAAAACGGACGTTATAAGAAAACTGCAGGTCTAACAACATTCAATGGAACGAAATATGCTGGGAATAACCAAGAAAGGCCATAAAAGAATACAGTGTACACGACAAAAGACCTAGGTAATAGATGCCATCCACAGAATCAAATTCCTTAGGTGGCAATAGGCAGGACACCTGGCAATAAGGACGTACAAGAGATGGGCTTGAGCATGGTACCCACGAGGAATTAAGAGACCTAGAGGAAAACCAAACCTTAGATAGAACCATGATATTAAGAAATTAGCAGGGATAACTTGGGCCGGCATAGCCAACAATAGACAACAATGGGCCCAACTACAAAGAGAGTATCTAAACATGTGAGAGAGGCTACACCATAATTGGAAATGGCTGAATAAGCTGAAAATAATGATGACGATGATGCCACAACAACAAAGCAAAATAATATCGATGCGTTTTGAGCTGTACGGTGGTTTAAAAGCTATTACTTAACATCTATCATCTCTGTTATTCGTCGCGATCATTGCCAGGTTAGTGAAATTATATTGTAAATTGTTTAACTAGGCAACTGTCGACGATCAGCGATGACAATACCGATATAAAAGAGTATTCAGAACAAAGTCCAGTTCGCCTTAAAGTGAGTCTTTCGGCGAGTCTTGTAGTTACTTTTGTAGTCTGGCAATCTATTAGTTGGTCAGTTAGTGCATACCCACTGCAGTTTTCCTGTCATTACTTATCACGTTTGTCGTAAATTTTGGCGAATATTCTACTACAAAATTTTTCGCCTGCCTCTGCCCTGGTAAATATTTCCACCGTTCTAGAGATTTGTTGATATATAAAAAATTAAAATTTTTATCAAGTAGGTAATATAATTTTTTATGGCATTGAAGATAAACCTGTTTTTAGATCACGTACTCTCGAAAGTACCTTGTATACAATCGTTACACACAGACAATGTCGTTTTCGAACAATAAAAATTCCTATTGTTTACCGCTCAAACAAATCTGATAACTATACCTTAATCCCATTAATGATGCAAATCCTAGTCTATAATTTACACCTTTATTTGCGGAATATAATTACTCGGTCTAGAATTATTTAGGACGTACTATCTGTCCCGTTAAGAATATCTTAATTTCAATAATGTAGATTGTTTTACTTTTACTGAAAATATCTCATTTTTTAAAGAAGTTCAACATATTTTAAGATAGTTAAGATCATTTTTGTATTATAGTAGGAGAGCGCAAGCGGGGATTTTACGATTTACTCAAGAGCGGCAGAACAACATAAGTGGGGGAAACCCTGCACCCTGCACCTTACATTCCCTGCTCATATATGGTGGGGAATAACACACACCCTGTGTTATTCCCCACCATATATGAACCTTTTACACAGGGTCGTGCGTTAGAAAAACTCGAGCGCATTAAATTAAAGCAAGTGATGAGTTAATTTCATGCAGATAAGTGTGCATTTAAATAATCTGAGGAGAGAGTACGTCTGGCAATTGCCCAGTAGCAAAGCCAAATCCGAGACAAGACAAGAGTCAAGTCACACATAGTTACAAAAAAACGGCACCTTGGCATTTTCAGGCGTAGTTATTATTTTTCTTTATTTTGAAGGAAATCTTCACAAGCCTATGTAGCTAAAATCATCAATAAAGTGTGGTGCCGAGAAAAATGTATTTCTCAAAAATCTGCCATGAGGTTTGGTCACGTCCAAATATTCAGTCTTTTGAATAATAGCTTCTTAGGGTTCACTTAATATCCCTTTTGAATATCTGACGCGCACGAATATTTTTTTTCTCAGTTTGTACCTCTTCATATGGTCACCCCAATGGGCCATCCTCATATGGCAAATCCGCAAATTAATAAACACGTAGTATTAATTAATACTTGAAACGCTTAAGTATTAATTTGTGATTCTATTCAAAGTGTCATTTTCTATCGAATAAAGTAAAAAAATACCGAAGGTGACATTTAAAAATCAAAAGTTGTAGTCATTTCGTGTGAAACAGGAAGTGACCAAAAACAATTGAATGCCGTCTATCAATCCTAATTTATGTCATAACAAATCTCGTTTTTTATGTGAAAATATAAAAAAGTTATAGGGAGTGAGCCCATAGAGTTAAAAATTTGAACCACTTTTGAGACGCACCCGGTATAGCAGCTAATTTTCACAATCTATATGTCGCAGGCGTATCGAATAACTTGGCATTTTGCAAAAAGACTAAGCATTTAGGCATGTTATAAAACTCCGGCGTTTTTTGTTAAATATATATCATTCTTTTGTTAAAGAATGATATTTTACGAAAGAGCCTATCTGTTTTCAGTCGTTTTGCAAAATACCTAATAAAGACTAGTCAGATTGCACAAAACATTTTACGCGGGATTGGTATTACTAACCTAAATTTATTCAACGACATTTCTTGAACTTCTCTTTCAAAATTTGGAAATAATATTCCACAAAGAAGCAGCCCTGTACACAGAATCGAATTACAGAGGATACATAATAATTAAATGAGATATTTATATTTAAAATTATGTTATTTATAATTAAAATTTATGAAGTAGGATTCAAGTTGTTTTCGTCTAAACATAATAAAATTTTTACATAAATAATTATTGTTTTTATACAGAAAAATATGGAGTATTTTTATTAAAGTGTAAATTATTCAATATGCTTATGCTATAGCTGACTAAACTTTGATCATTTTTTAAACTGCCTGGCGTCGATACTCGATTTGGCATTTTGTAAAATGACTGAAAACAGTCTTTTGCAGAAGTGTACAGGGTGTCCCATTTTGGTTGAAATCATACGGTATCTCCGTTATTCGTTAAGATAGAAGGGTGCGGTTTTTACAAACCTGTGCCACTTTTTTGTCAAATGGAAGATGCTGTCAACAAAATTTTTATAACTCTTTTCGTTTCTGAGCTACAGGGTCTTTCCGAAAAATTTGCAATTTGGGACCGCCCCCGTATCTCCGTTATTATGTATAATATCGGAGGCCTACTAATAAGAAAATGAAATATTTTAAATATTGTAGTAAATAGTGAAAATAAATATAGAGTGGTATATATATTTGAGAAGCTCATATCAAAGCGGATCATATGATTTATAAATATACAGGGTGTTCCATTTAATAAAACATAACTTTAGTTCATATTTTTAAAAATATTATTTTCGTAGAATAACACACTACACCACTATATTCTACGTAAAAAGTTCTACAATAAACAGTTTTCACAGTCTCAATATCTTTAACAATAACAGAAATACGGGGGGTTTGAATTCCCAAATTGCAAAATTTTCAAAAAGACCCTGTAGCTCACATCAATTTTAGAATCTTTGCAGCCTATACATTATTACTTTTATTTTATTATTTAACAACATTATTAAGTCACCACAGGTCACAAGCCTTACCTACGAACCCAGCTCTCCTCTAACCCTGAGCAACGGATACCTTTTTCTTTCTGTTTGAGTGATGACAGAAAAAGTCGTCACACTGTACAGAAA